CTTTTTTTTTCTTTCTTTCTTTTACACATTTCAAGACCAACGTTTAATACGGCAAGCTAACTATGGCACATCTTCAAGACTATAGTATAAGCATCAGGAAATAAATAATTCAGGGACATTCACTAGGCTTGCAATTATCTCACAAAATGTGTATGCAGACAAGTTGAAATGGGATCCTCCACGTGACAGCTATTGGTGAGGCAGGGTTATGGTAGATGTGGGGGATTATCTGTTTTAACATTGCCACCATTGCTTTCTTTTAAGGTTTTCTCTGTAGATCAGAGGGAGAACTAAAAACTGTATAGTCCAGAATCCCCTTCCATGAATCAGCCTAGGTTAGAGTTGGCCACAGAGAAGTGCTGCAGTATGATTTGGAAATCTAGAGAGGAGGAGGAACAGGGTAATGCATGGATAACCACAATGACTGAAACAGTCTCCAGGTAAGCGTGAGAATCCTCGCACAGGTGCTTCAGATAGAGAAAGTCAGTGAAAGACGCCCAGGTGTTCCTGTGATCTACAGAACTTTCCAGCAAGCTCCTGAAAAACACCAGCTCAGAGCTGAGGTTGAGATTCTGGGTGGCGGCACCACCTCTAATTCATTCCAATAAAACTCCTCATAATTGGAACACACTGAGTGCCTTCTATTTTCCCTGTCTGAATCCAGACTGACATGGAGCATTCTCCTTTTTTGTTTTCAAACTTTCTCTCCTCCTGATTTTATTGTTCTGTAATTTAAAAATAAAGAATGGCAGGGCAGGAGTAATACAATTGTTTTGACAGAAGCAGGCAAGTAGGATGCCGTAGCTCCTGGCAGCCTAAGCACAGGCTTTGGAAACTCATCCCATTGACGAACATTTCCAGGCCATGTCTCTCCCTCTACTTTTTCTCCTCTTCCTTCCAGCTCAAGGCCACAGTTAGCTCTACCTACACTTGCTTCATACACACGGGATGAAGGATAAAGGTCAGGGGTGACTTGATAATTAGGACACAGGGCTTGATTTGTTTCCCTTGCCCGTTGTTGAGTTGCTCCATTGTCCCCAGCAATTCTTGATGTCTCCCTCTGTGTAATGAGAATAATATTTGCCCTCCCCACGTTACAGGGTTGTCCTGAGGATGATATAATTTACATTCTAAATAGAAATGTTTTCCCCAAAAGACACAATGTCCTCTACAGATGTGAATTCTTCTTCTAACAGCTACCAGATGAAGAATGGCAATATCTGGCATGCTGGGGCACGTCCTGTACTCATAACATATTTAAAGAGACATTTCTCCAACAAATATTTTAGCACTTCTCATAACATGAACACCGCCAAGGACACAATACGTAGATTGCCACTAGGGAACAAATGAGATTACTGACACATTCCACATTCTCCTCATTCCAAAGATATGCTCCAACCCAGGGCAGTGTTCTCAGAGAGAATTCAGGTAGACCATTCTAAATCCATGTGTGTACCACAATCCATATCTTACCGAGATTCTGACCCCTTCCTTGAGAGTTGCTGTTCTAGTAAAATAATTCCATCAGTTACTTCAATTGATCCTATTCCCTTCCTTACCATCAAACCACCGGTGCTTGAAACATTAAAATAATCAACTATTTAGAAGTTAGGCTTTGTGACAAAATGTTCTCTGGCAATTAATCAACACATATGACATCCATCCCTGATGGTCTGGGTTTATGAAAGCAACAGAATTGAGTTCTGAGGTCCACAAAGCTAGACCTTTCCCTTTAGTGTGTCCACCCCCAAAGGAAGCAAGGTCTTCTTTCTTGCCTGCAATCAAGTTACCTTGCAAAGGTAAGTTACTCACCCTTCCCCTGGGTTTCTATTACTCAGCTTTTACTAAAACATATATATGGAGCTTCATTTAGCTAGGAGGTCCTGTGCCGGGCATTGCAGATAAAGTGGTGAACACATGTACTCTCATCCACTCTTCACAACAGCTTATGTCCTATCTAGGAAGATAGTCCCTGAACTGGGAACACTGGCCTAATATAACAGTGTAGGGGGATCAGAGGAGTTTCCTTTGGAGTTATGATATTTAAGCTGATGCCTGAAGAATAGAGTCAGTGATGTCAAAAAGAAGATGAGGCTGGGCGTGGTGTCTCACACCTGTAATTCCAGCACTTTGGGAAGCTGAGGTGGGCGGATCACGAGGTTAAGAGATCAAGACCATCCTGGCCAACATGGTGAAACCCCATCTCTACTAAAAAAATACAAAAATTAGCTGGGCAAGGTGGTGCACGCCTGTAGTCCCAGCTACTTGGGAGGCTGAGGCAGGAGAATCACTTGAACCCAGAAGGCAGGGGTTGCAGTGAGCTGAGATTGCGCCATTGCACTGCAACCTGAGTGACAGGACGAGACTCTGTCTCAAAAAAGAAAAACAAAATGATGATGAACTGGACTTACTGCTGACTCTCAGGGAGTATTCATTTGTGAGGAGTTTAAGGCACACATAACCTGACCTCTATCACACAAAGCAGAATATGAACAACTGCTTTAAGAAGATAGAAACAAATATCATTAATACCTATAGAAAGAAGAAAATCAACCTAACTCAGGTCAGTAAAAGCTTCATGCAGGAAGCAAAGCACTGCACGTTACTAATTCCTGTGACGTGCGGATTATCTACAAGTTACAGATGGAAAAATTGAGTCCCAGGTCTCCTGATCAGTATTCTAAGACTGGACTTCCTTTGCATTTGAATCTACAGTTTCTAGGACATGAATCTTGGGCCTATCATACTCGACATTGGAAGTTACATAAAAGGACAAGTAAAGGGAAAATGGCATGTCCAGAAAAATAGCAATTTGCACATGAACTACTGCCCGCCAGTTTTTGTAGTTGTTGGTGCGGAAGGAAAAGAGATTGGGAACTGGATGAATAAAAAATTATTTGCAAATAGAACTTCCAGTGAGGATTTTACAGACAAAAGTTTCAGACACCATGGAGGATTTCTGCGGGGAGAGAATTGAGGCGATTTGTCCTCACACCGTGAAACGCCCTCCTGTGCATAAATGTTTGCAAGTTGTTTGCATGAAGGTATTAACAAATGACACATAGTTTCATGATTTATATGATCAGAAACTTGAAATAATTACCTTAAATACTTTTTAAAAAATGAGATAGTCTTAAGTGGTTTCATTTTAGTGCCAAAAAGAATGGCTTTCCCATTTGGAGAAAGCCAAGTTGGTTCAAGCCAAATTGGTTTATGCCAAGTGTAAATATATGAGTCTCACCTTTCTCCTACGTACATCAGTCCAACAATAATCCAGCTTTGATGAACTTCTTTGGTCCTCTCTTAATTGGTCTCCTTATGGCCATCAGCCCAAAGAACATCATTTTATGATGAGGACTTGCTTTTCTCAACAACCACGTCAGCACTGATAGGGCAACCAATGTGTCAAACGTGTAGGGATTTTCTTCAGTAAAACTGAGACATCTGTTGTTGGCTCCCTTTAAATAACATTTTTACATTTCTCTCATTGATGTTAGGCCCTGATGTCATCCAATAGCACTTATGTGAACTCTAACTATTTTAGGCATTTTTCCATATTCCAAATGTTATTGCAAATACTTTAAAACTATATTACTTTATACTTCCTTTCTTCAAGTCTCAGGTTCCTTATATTACTGTTAAAAATGACAGATGATATTTGTCCTATTCCTAATGATTATCATTTATCTGATCGTATCTCCCCATTGTGAAATCTCAATTTCATGGCCAGATAAACTTTACAAGTGGCTGTGACGTTTCTGAGACTTCAGTTTCTATGAAACTTATTCAATTGACTATGAAGTAAAATTACCCTTATTCAAATACAAGAAACCCCTATTCAAATACGAATACATAAACATATGAGGATATGATGCTAATTTAAGGGTTAATTTGTTGCTCCATCTAGATGTGGTGTTATTTTAGGGAAATTCCCAAAAACAGTCTCCAAAGGGAAATATGCTCAAGACCTTCAAAAGGACATTCAGTGAAAGTGACCTGTTCATGCTCCTAAAACATCGCAGGTTGGCAGCTGCTTATTTCCCTGACTTTGAGGCAAAATTGATTTTTTCACAAAATTAAGGCATATTTAAATGTAGAAAAGTTCTATTGATGCCCAGACACCAAACAGACAACACAGGTCCAAGCCACAGACTCCGGAAATCCTGCCCTCCTCTCTTGTTCTTTTCCTGCCCAATACAAGAATCCCATTTGCCCAGAGCCCAGATGGTGACTCGGAGGGTCAGATTCACTGCTTTCTGAGCATCTCCACAGCCTGTTCTTCCACCTGCACATCCTGCAGTACTGCTGGGATAGTCCCTGTTCAGTTTCCCCTTTATATATGTAAGTGGAATTTCCTTCTTTGGGAAACAATATTTCAAACAGCCAGCTTAGGGATAAGACATTTTCAAGTGATATTTCATGTCAGTGTACTGTCTGCTTTTGAAGCTGAAGACTCTAGACATGGCAGCAGACATTCAAGGCTTTGGAAAAACTGAGTAAACCAAATTCATGTTTTGAGAACAAGAGAATTCAGCAAAAAACTGCACATGGATTCTCTCAATGTTGCCAGGGAAATTGGAATTCCTTTTAGTTATAATGTAGAGTTCACTCATTTTGAAATTACATATGTCAATTGTTATATTCTCAAACAATGATACTTTTACAAATACTAGTGAGTTTCCCAGTTTCTCCCCATCACTAATACTGAAGTTAACATCTCCTCGGTAATCTCAAAGTACTCTAATCTCTTTAAAGAAAAAAAAATTATAAAATTATATTATACCATAGATTTATTTGCCTCCCCGGTAGAATGCCACTAAATTCTGTTTAATACGGGTTAAAATCACTGCATGTGACAGGTATGGTTTTCTCATCAAGGACTTAAAAAGCACTGCATTCTTTCTAAAGTGCCGAGGCAGCAGTAATAGGCCAGAGCTCTGCACAGCCAAGTGTCCCTCCCTGCACCCACTGAGAGCAATAAAAAGCTGAGTTCCAACCTCGGTGACTGGTGAGTTCCCTGGAAGCAGAAGGCAAGGGCGTGTAGTGGTGCTCAGGGGAGCTGGCAGTGTCCTCACTGGAAACCTGTGTGACAAAAGCAAAGTCAACATGAAGCAACACCAAATACCAAACCCCTCCTTTACCAGACCTGTCTCCTTGGGATCTGAGCTTGGAGAAATTTTTATTCACCAAGATACTTCTTAGGAAGCAAGAGTTGTTTTTGTTGAGATAATATTCTGGTAAGTGTTGGGTAAGATCCAAAGCTTTGAGGAGCCTCAGTACATGTGGAATAGCTCTGAGGAAAGAGGGCAGTTTGTTTATGTGCTGAAATGAGAGGAGGAGGAGGAAGAAAAAGAGAGAGGCGGAAGACAGGAAAAGTTAGAGACCTAGATTTCTATCAGGACTTTACCCAGTGATTCCCACAAAGTAAATGCTGGATATGGGCAGATTTCTATGTTAACTAGTGAAGACGCTAAGCTCTGCCCCCAGGATAAATGGGGAAAACCAGGGCTGACCTCTTTGAGCCCACTGGCCTGAAAGACTGGGCAGAATGAAGTCAGCATAGGAAAGGATATACATTGTCTTGTGCTGTGCATTGGGGATTCTGGCTCAGTTTAACAACAGCAATGAGAAATACGTCTGAAATTTGGATTTGGGATGTAGCAGTTATCAACAAATTTGTCACTCCAAGGCCTAAAAGAAAATAACATAAGATGCATCTAAGATGATACTTTTTCGCTGTCTGCAGAACACTCTTTAACTATAGAACTCTGTCTGAGATGACACAGGCTGCTAAGGCTCACTCTTCAGAACCCAACATGCTTGTGAATTAAGCAAGAAGAAAGTATTTCAGCTTGGGGTCCGCTGTCACTCAGAGACAATGACCAGTATGCCACACTCACAGTGTGGTTGCCGGTAACAAGAAGCAACTCTTAACTAACATTTTGAAATCAAATGCATTTTTTTTTTTAATATCCCAACAAGAACATCTGCTAGGATCAAAATCTGAAGCTTACAATCTTTCCAAGCTTCATGAAAAAGTAAATTTCATTAATGCTACATTTTTCTTCCCGGAATAGGAAATACCTTCTATGGGATGTATTTGCCCTCCTAAAAGGAGGCCTTTTCTCCAAAGAGATTACCTATATTACAGGAATCAAACTAAGTAGGAGATTAGACCTACTTGCTAGAAAAACCCTTTAAATTTCATTTCTGACATTTGCGACGTCTGACTAAGCGGCTTTCAGTGGAGACTTATGGCAAGAGGGTGACTGGAGCAAAATCAGAAGCTCGGTCCCTAGGTAGAAACAGTTTTCAGGTAGCTTGCTTCACTCCAGCTCCAAGGCAAATATATGGTGTTTAAATTTGGATCCAAGGCTATTGGGTCCAGAAAAATAAAAGTTTGGCCACCAAGAAAGACATGTTTTGAAGCAGGCAAGACTTTTCTACTTTTTAGCACATTGCAAGAACGTGGAGTCCAAAATTAGATTAAAAAATCAAATACTACAGTCACCAAGTGTCTCTCTGTTGGGTATTTATTCAAGGTCTCCTGTAATTTCTATATAATGAATGAAACATGATGACAGTGTCCTAAATATGGCACCTATTTAATGCTTGAGGCAGGACATATGAAGTGAGGGTACAGGAGTCATCCTCCCTAGATCTACCACACTTCCTCCATGGCAGGCCACAGTTGTCAATATGTCTGCTCCAACTCATTGCAAAAAAAAAAAAAAAAAGAAAAAATCAATATGCGTTTTAGTTTGTTGTGTTGTGATATTTCTCAGAACTTTTAATCTCGATTTGGGCTGTTGACAATTTGATAACAGCTTTTTCCTACAATTACTGGAACAAATCCTACCTTTCAGGAAACACCTCTGACTGTGCTACACATTAGAATCCTGTAGCGAAGCGTAAAAGAGATGTTTGGTTGTGCTTTGCATTGCAGGTAGAGCAAAATGGTGTGGCTTCTGTTGTTTTACAGTCATCATTCTATGACCAGCACTTAATTACTTTCCTGCTCAGTGTCCGTTGATAAACTCACATCATGAAAAATAATCCAGGAAAGCATGATTTTGCAAACTACGCCTTTTGATGGGACTTCTATGGCTGGATGTCTAGGAAAACAACTACAAATCAGGGTTCCAACTACCAACTCTTTGACATGGCTTTTCTTAAAATGAGGTCCATGTGATCCTGTCAACAGTGATGCTCACACTGGTTCTCTGAACCTTAGGATTAGAAGCACGATTCAGAAAGACACAATTATCATGTGAAATAAGTGGACAAGAAAATGTTTTAAATTTGTACTCTATCTTCCAAAGAATAAAGAGCTCACCTTGAAACTGAGGCGGTATACCTATCGTATATTGAGTATGCAGTAATGGAAAATTTAAATAATATTTTCTTTCACCTGGATTAAAAGATATGCCTAAAATGAGAATAAGCAAATTTGAGTAAATCTGAATCTTCAGGACTATAAATACTCTCCAATTTTGAATCCTTGGCAAATTTGTTGTTGCTGCTGTTGAGACAGAATCTCACTCTGTGCCAGGCTGGAGTGCAGAGGCACAATCTCAACTCACTGCAACCTCTGCCTCCCTATTCAAGCAATTCACATGCCTCAGCCTCCCGAGTAGCTGGGATTACAGGCACGTGCCACCACGTCCAGCTAATTTTTGCATTTTTAGTAGAAATGGGGTTTTACCATGTTGCCGAGTCTGGTCTCGAACTCCTGGTCTCAGGTGATCCACCTGCCTCAGCCTCCAAAAGTATTGGGATTACAAGCATGAGCCACTGCACCTGGCCCTTGCTATCTTTTCTAAATGCCTATGGCAAGGAATTAGAGTTTTACATTTTAATTTTTAAATTCTCCTGTTAGGAAATATTTGCATATCTACAATAAATAATTAGTATCCAAAATAAAAAAGAATGTCTTTAAATCAATAGAAAATATAATAGAAAAACAGACAAAGGAAATGTCTGGAAATTCAAAGATGAGAAAACCTGAACATTCAATAAACATAAGAGAAGTTGCTGAAATTTCCTAGGATGAAGGGCAATACAAATTAAAACAAGATACGATTTTTCCACTCATCATACTGGCAAATTTTAAGTCTCATAATAGCACGTACTAGTGAGAACAAAGGAAAAAGATGTTATCGTCTCATTCCTTGCTAGTGGGAATGTACACTGGTTCAACTACTTTGAATCGTCATTTAGCAATATCTAATAAAACTGAAAATAGGTGCAGCAATTTCACTTAAAATATGTAATTCTATGGAAAATCTTACACAGGTCTGCAAGTTGAGACATAAAACTGTTTATTGCAGCATTATTTAGAAGAAATTGGAATTAACTCAAATGTCTATCGATGAGAAAAATAAAATGTTGTATATCAATAAGATAGAATATTAATATGCAGTATTTAAGAGAAACAAACCTAATTTCTATATCCCACTTTGAATAGATCTAAAAATGTAATACAGAGTGAAAATGCAAGTTGCAAAATGATAAACATAACATTTATGGAAATATAAAGTTTATTGATCTCATGTATGTATAGAAACATCTAAAGATTATTTAAAAAATATACACTAAATTCATTAAAACAGTTGCTTCAGCCAAAGGGCAGTGTAGTAGTCTGGGGCTGGTGAGATATGGGGAGAAGAGAACTTCAGCTTTACATATGATGCTCTTTCTTTCATTTAAAGAAGACTTAAACGTCAAAATATTAGCAACCACAAATTCTCGATGATCTCTGCACATATTCATTACTTTTCAAACTTTTCTACATTTCTGAAACTTCTCAGACCTAAGCTTGAAATTTTTTTAAAACACCAAAAGGCCCTATTTCTTTGCTAATCCATGCAGTCCTATATTGACATGAACCCATAATGAGAGAAAATTTCCTTAAACAATTCTCTAGTACTTGTACAACATGGATTAATGTCATCTCTGATTGGCTTTTTGTAGTGAACTACCCCATTTCTGTTTCTTCTAGAGCTACTGAGAGTGAGCTCTAGAATAGGTAAAAGCAGATGATGGTAAATATATATCCCCTTCCCCCCAAGTCTTGAAATACTCATTCTGGCCTTACAAGTCCTTCTGCTGAAGATACAACAAAGCATTCTGAAGGTTACTTGATTCTTCTCCTGCTCACAATCAAAGAGTTACTAATAATTTTTAAAACCCACATCAATAAAGGTAATAGCCACTAATATACTGCACTCTGCAATTTCCATAATGGGAGGAAGGAAGGTGGAACTTGGCAACCTCCTTGGAAAAGATTCAACGCACACACAGCGTACTCTGCAACAGACTTGCAAAGTGAGAGTTTCACTTGGTGATTACAGAAACTGATAAATGTGTAAAATTCAAGCCCCTTTCCAATGGGTTCATTCAATGAAAAACTGCAGTCCGGTGGATATTTCTGAATGTTACGGATACACTGAAAGAACATGATACAGACCACAGGAGGAGAGATTTGGCAGACTTTGAAACAAGAAGGGGGCAGCTACAAAGTTGTTTAATAGCCATAAATCTCCTACTATTTTTCACAAAATACCATCTAAGACCACAGCTCCACAACTCATTCCCCATCACTCAGCTCAAGTGGAGCGCTCTGGCATGTTCACTCACCCTTAAATCATACACCACAGAAAGTGATCCCGGGCCTGGGAAATATGTCAGCCTCTTTCAAGCAAAAGCAATCTTCACTTTTCATCACAATTCATTCCCTGAAACCATGGAATAAAGCTGACTCTTCTAAAAACATTTATTTTCTCTCATAAGAAAAAGCATCACTCATTTAGTGATCAAGTATTTAATAACCACCTACTATATGCCAGGCCCTTTGCTGAGAAAACCAAGAAAAATAAAAAGAGAACATCGGTTGCATTCCTGGCTCATAAAAAAAAAATCATACTATGATTAATACTGGTTATGAAGAACCACCAACTCAGCGTGTCTCTCACAATCCCATATTCTGCATCATCACAGAATGCTGTCTCTGACCTTGATTATGACATCTACACGCCTGTAACAGTAGTTACGTACTTACTCATTTCTCATTCATACTAACA